GCCACCATGCCTGCCTGCTGAATTCATGGTGTTCTCTCCTCTTACTGCAGGCCAGCATGGAACCTGGAAGGGCAGTGCCAGGGAAGTGTCCCCTGGCTTGGAAAGATGCTTGCTGCTGTCTGCAGGGACAGGAGTTTTCCAGTTGCAGGAGGAAGCCAGCAGCCAGGACCTGGGGCTGGGATGATTTATGATTACACAGTAGGACGCTCATGTCCCTGGCTGGCCTGCTTGTCTGCCAACTCAGCCAGAGAGGATGCACTTAAAAGGTCATGTCCTCCAGCCCTGGAGAGGGGGTGGCGGGGCCTGATGCCAGGTTTGGTTGGTCCTTCCTTCTCTGAGTACATGTCAAGAGATGTGAAGCCTTGAAGCCAGGAGAGAAAAGGTGACTTTCTTCCTTGGAGTCCAGAAGGCCTGCCTGGGTTTGAATTCAGCCTTCCTTCCTTCTTTTCTCTTTCCTTCTTTCTTTCCCTCCCCTCCCCTCCCCTCCCTCCCTTCCTCCCTCCCTCCCTTTCTCCTTCCTTCCTTCCTTCCTTCCTTCCTTCCTTCCTCTCTGCCTGTCCTGGGGCTGGAATTCAGGGTCTGGGCACTGTCTTTGAGTTTTTATTTAGTTAGAGGGTTTTTTTTGTCAGCTCTGGGGCCTGAACTCTGGGTCTGGGCGCTGACCCTCAGCTCTTCAGCTCAAGGCTAGCACTCTTCCACTTGAGCACAGCACAACCTCCAGCTTTTTCTGCTTATGTGGTGCTGAGGAATCAAACCCAGGGCCTCATGCATACAAGGCAAGCACTCTACCACTAAGCCACCTTCCCAGCCCAGTTGTTTGTTTGTTTGTTGTTTTTGCTCAAGGCTAGTGCTCTACCACTTTGAGCCACAGTGCTACTTCTGGTTTTCTGGTAGCTATTTGGAAATAAGAGTCTCACAGATTTTCCTGCCCAGCCTGGCTTCACACCTTGATCCTCAGATCTTAGCATCCTGAATAGCTAGGATTACAAGCACGAGCCACCAGCTTGTCCTTCAATTTTTATAATAAATAAATAAATAAATGAATGCCTAGGGGCTGGGAATGTGGCTTAATGGTAGAGTGTTTGCCTAGCATGCATGAAACTCTGGGTTTGATTCCTCAGTACCACATAAACAGTAAAAGCCAGGAGTGGTACTGTGTTTCAAGTGGTAGAGTGCTAGCCTTGATTGAGTAAGTGAAGCTCAGGGACAGTGCCCAGGCCCAGAGTTCAAGCGCCAGGACTGGTAAAACAAACAAACAACAACAACAAAAAAAACCTGAATTCAAGCCAGGCACTGATGGCTTATGCCTATAATAATTCTAGCTATTCAGGAGGCTAAGATCTGAGGATTGAGGTTCAAAGCCAGCTGGGGCAGGAAAATCCATGAGATATTTATTTACAATTAGCTACCAGAAAACTGGAAGTGGCACCGTGGCTTAAAGTGGTAGAACGCTAGGCTTGAGCAAAGAAGCTCAGGGACAGCACCCAGGCCCTGTGTTCAAGCCCTATCACTGACCAAAATAAATAAATAAATACCCTACTAAAAATGCCAGAAATGGAGCTGTGTCCCAAGTGGTAGGGCAGTACTAGCCTTGAGCATAAGAAGCTTAGAAACAGTGTGCAAGTCCTGAATCGAAGCCCCAAGACTGGCACACACAAAAAGAACTGCAATAGTTTCAGCTCAGAAGAACTGTTTCATCTAGAGCTGTGACACAGAGCACATTAGAGGAGCTCTTGGCTCTTTGATAGTTTATCATCTCATTTTATCGGGCAAGAAACTGAGACCCTGAGGGAGGGCAGGGCTTGTCCTCAGATCTAGAGGCCACAGAGAATCCATGTTAGGAAATGAAACCCAATGCCAGGATGTTAAGCTGGAAGCCAGGATGTTATGCCATTTGCTTTGTGAAATGCCCGCATGCTTCTGATGCAACCTTCTGAAGGTCTCCTGGGCAACCTGCAGCTTGCAGCCCAAAGCCTTAGAATGTCAAAGGGAGCTGGCACTGGTAGCTTATGCCTGGCCTGTAGTTCTAGCTATTCAGGAGGCTGAGATCTGAGGATCCTGGTTTGAAACAGGAGACTCCCATCTCCAATTAACCAGCAAACAGCTAGAAGTAGAGGTGTGGCTAGACTTGACTAAGAAAGGGACAGGAGCTCCTTTTTTTTTTTTGGGTCCGGTCATGGGGCCTGAACTCTGGGCCTGGGTGCTGTCCCTCAGCTCTTTTAGCTCAAGGCTAGCACTCTACCACTTGAGCCACAGCGCCACTTCTGGCTTTTTTTCTTTTTGCTAATGTGGTGCTGGGGAATCGAACCCAGGGCCTCATGCATGCAAGGCAAGCACTCAACCACTGAGCCACCTCCCCAGCCCCCAGGAGCTCCTTTTAAGCTGAGTTCAGTACCACCCCCACCACCCCCAAACACACACGGAAGTCAAAGGAAAAGAAGAAGGCAGGGACTGCTTTCCCCTGTACCATTGGAAGGAAGCCTCCATGTACAGATTGAAGATGACATCCTGGTTTGGCTCGGATACATGTTTTTCTTTGAGTCTATTTTACTTTTCTCAAGCAGATTTTCCTTGACCTTCTCTCTATTATTTTTTTTTTTCAAGCACAGTAGACTCGTTGGGAAAGGAGCTGAGGTGGGGAGACCATAGAGACGGCTTATAATGTGCCAGGAAGACTGTCAGATTTAACACCTGGAGCCTGCCTGTATCATTGACATGTTTGGAGACAAGGACTTCTTCCTGTATACTCCTAAAGCACCACAACACAACAGACAAGATTCTGGCTTGTAGGGAGGAAGAAAGGGGAATAAGGAATGGCTTGGGGAAGCCACCTGCAGGAAACAGAAGGAAGTGGGAGGGTTTTTTCACCAGCAGGACTGCATTTTGCTGGGTAGTGTGGTAAGAGTCCAGGCCAGATCCTGTGTTGCAGGAGGGGGAGAAGAGGACTATTTCTAGGCTCTCTCCCCACTCAGCTCATCTCCTATACTTGTCAGAGCAGTTTCCCCAAAACTCATTCATTCATTCCTTCCTTTATTTCATGAATTCTCTGTATTATACATAATCCTTTAAGGACTCAGTTGGAAATATTACAAGGCCCTCTTCTTACCTACCTTGAAATTTAAAAAAGTTTTAACATTTAACAATTCACCCCTCTGTACATCCCTTTACAATAAAAAAAAAATAAAACAAATATTTAACAATTTTGCATTACCTTGAGGACAGGGTTCCTCTAGCATAGAACACTTAGAATCTAGAATGTTCTCGCACAGAAACTCATTCTAGGTTCTTGTACTCATCCATATCCCCTATTTTTGCCTCTTTTGCTCTTACATATTCTTTACATATTTATTTGTCTATACTTGTTTACAAATATTTATTTATTTTGCCAGTCCTGGGGCTTGAACTCTGGGCTTGGGCTTTCTCCTGTCCCTGAGTTTATTCTGTTGAACCGTAGTGCTCTATCTCTGGAACCACAAGCCACTTCCGGCCTTTTCTGAGTAGTTTATTGGAGACAAGAGTCTCACAGACAGGGCTGGGAAGGTAGCACAGTGGTAGAGTGCATGCCTTGTAAGCATGAGGCCCTGGGTTCGATTCCTCAGCACCACATAAACAGAAAAAGCCAGAAGTGGTGCTGTGGCTCCAGTGGTAGAGCCCTAGCCTTGAGCTGAAGAGCTGAGGGACAGCACCCAGGCCCAGAGTTCAGGCCCCATGACCGGCAAAAAAAAAAAAAAAAAGTCTCACAGACTTTTCAACCCAGGCTAGCTTCAAACCCTGAGTACCTAGAATTACAGGTGTGAGCCACTGATGCCTGGTTCCCAGTATCTCTTATTTTGCTCATTTTCTATTTATTATTTATTTATTTACTTACTTACTTATTTGTCGGTCGTGGGGCTTGAACTTGGCCTGGGCCCTGTCCCTGTGCTCTTCAGCTCAAGGCGAACGCTCTACCACTTGAGCTACAGCGCCACTTCCGGTTTTCTAGTTTTTTATTTTTTATTGGAGATAAGAGTCTCATGGATGCTCCTGCCTGGGCTGGCTTTGAACCGCGATCCTCAGATCTCAGCCTCCCGAGTAGCTAGGATTACAGGCGTGAGGCACCGGCGCCCGGCTTCTTTTTATTTCTTTAGGTTGCACTAATTTATTTTATTTTGCCTGTTTTTTCTTTTGTAGTACTGGTTTGAACTCAGGGCCACAGGTTTGCTACAAAGGCACTCTAAAGCTTGAGCCATGCTTCCAGCAACCTTCTTCCTTCTTTCCCTCCCTTTGTCTCATTGCTCAAGCTGGCCTTGAACTCAACGTCCTCTTGCTTCAGTCTCATGAATATACAGGCCTGTATGTGCTGCCATGCCTATTTTCTTAAGCAGTATGATTTATCTTTTCTGCTTACTGCTGTACCCCACTGCTTAGAACAGTAATTGGAACATAGTAGAATACCCAACAGATAACTGAATAGATGAAATAAATAAAATGTCCTGATCATCTATGGGGTGTGTGCACAGGTGCCTCTACTATTGCACTGACTCTGGTATGCTACACTGTAGAGGAAGGAGGGGCCTCGGGTCAGCCTGCCGACAGCCAAACCCGAGAAAACCATGGCGCAGTGTGGAACTGGAGCCCGGTTGTGCGGAGGTGGGGTGGGTGTCCAATCCTCTGGGGCTTGGGCCTTTAATTCACCCATCCTTGGGCAGGACCCCTCTAAATGGTGGTGGATGTCGTTTCCCCAGCTAGGCCTGCTATTGAGTCGGTGAAACCGTACGGGACTGAAAGCCAAGGCCCTCCGCTAGGCACTGCCCGGAGGCGGCAGGGCGGGGCAGGGCGGTGAATCAGCACTGGCCAAGGGGGGGCGGGGGGTGGTGCAGCGCGCTCGCCTGACTGAGGCTCCCGGCGGCGGCGGTGGCGGCGAGGCTAGACCCCTTCCCTGCTGGGTCCTCCACTGCCCGCGCGCCACGCCCGCTGGGAAGTGTAGTCTCGACCGCCCCTTTGTCCTTGGTCTCCCCAAGGCGGCAACCTGCGGCGAAACGAACTACAACTCCCAGGGGCCCACACGCCAGAGGTCAGGCAGGAAAGGTGGGGGGAAAACGAGTGGGGGAGGGAAGAAGCGGCTGGGCGAAAGAACCAGGGTCTGTTGAAGAAAGAAGGGCGTTGCAGAACAGCGAGCGAAGTGTGTGGGGAGGGGACATGAAGAAAACGCCTCCAAACCGCGCCTACTGGGGTGCGGAAGCTGAAGCCCGGGCAGGGCGGGCCGGGCGAGCCCTGGGCGGGCCGGGGCGGGGCGCTGACGTCACGCGGAGTGGGCGGGACCGCAGGGGGTTGTCCGCCCGCGGCACGCACAGCCGCCGCAGCCGCCTCGCGCCCGGTCCCGCGGTCGCAGCTCCCGCCACCTCCTCTGCGCCGCCGCCGCCTCAGCAGCTCGCTTCGTGAGTCGGTCGCTCCCGCACACGGCTTCCAGCCCCGCCGCAGCCGTCCTCCAGGTCTCCTTCCTCCGGCCCGATCCAGCCCACGAAGATGGTGGACCGCGAGCAACTGGTGCAGAAAGCCCGGCTGGCCGAGCAGGCGGAGCGCTACGACGACATGGCCGCGGCCATGAAGAACGTGAGTGTCTCCTCCCCTCCCCCCGCCGCGCCCTGGCCTCTCCCGGGCCTTCAGGCCGGGCGGGGACGGCCCGGGGCGGGGTGGAGGCTCATCGGGGCTCCGTTCCATCTCTCTTGGCGAGGGGGCCCCCCGGGGAAGACCCTGCTAGCGCCCGGGTCCCGGGTGGTGACGCGGCTTCTCCGCGAGGTCCCCGGAGCCGGGTGGGGCGGCCTGGGAGGCTCGGGCTCGGGCTGGGGCGGGGTCTGCGGGTGGGAGCGAGGTCGGGGGTCTCGGCGTCTCCGGATCCAGCGGGGACCCGAGCGGGGGCCGTGCGCATCCTTTGTGCCCCGCTTCCCCTCCTCCCAGCCCAGGCGTGGGGGCGGGGGACCGCATGGATGCGGTTCCTCTTTCTCTCCCTGGTGTCTGGGCGGCGCCTTTCCCATTCACTCAGCAGGTCTCCCAGTTTTCTACCCCACCACCCTTCATCATCTCCCCACTGTCTTCCCCTGGCAGAATCTTTAAAGAACCTCCCCGAAGGGAAAAATAACCTAGAGTCTCTTTGAAAATCAGTGCAAAATCGAAACCTTGCTCTCACGTTTTTCTTAACAAAAGGCCCCTCTTTTTTTTTTTCCTCCATTCCCCAAAGCCTAGTCCCTCTGGCTTTTAGGAAGGGTAGGGGAACATTTGTCTCGCTGGCGTTTTCATTGATCGCTCTCCACATGTCATCTCCATTTTCCTTAAATGTTTTTTGTATCAGAAAGGGTAGGTATTGCCTTTAAAATAAAGCCTGTGAATGTGAGCCGTCTGGTTCAATTTGTACTTATACTGTTTCTATTTAGAATTCAGGCACGCGTCTGCTGAAAATACCTGTTAAATTGAAGAAAAAAATATATGTATTCCGTCGGATCTGATATCGCAAACAAAAGCGGTGGTGGGAGGCAGGATCAAGTCGTTCTAGAAGATTCTGCATTTGTCATATTGCAGAGAGCCTAGACTGGGTGGAGGATGGGAGGAGTTACTTTAAGGGGGGGAATTTTTTTTGTTGTTTAGATACATCTGAGGCTCTAAAAAATTTTAAGCGAATGTATCCTCTTTCTGATAAGATTAATCTCCACTTGTCACGTTTTTTGTCTGGGATGCAAATTTCTACCAGTTAGTGTTGCACCATTTTCTTACTAACACTATCTAATAAGGTGTTAGAGGAGAGGGGAAGAATCAAATATTATAAAATGAAACGTAAAAATTTAGTCTTCCCATTATCTTAATATCGATCTTACTGCCTTATGTAACAAAGATTTAAAAAATGCATTTCCAGTGTGAAGTGAATGCTGGCATGTGTACCTTCATGTCAAATCCTCTAAATGTAGTAGTAGAGATATTACAGATTAATACTTAAATATATTAGCTCTTGCAGGGTTTTGTAATTGAGCCAGCCGCCATTTTTTTTCTTATTAAAGAAAAAAAGAATTGGTTCTGAATTGGGAATACTACTACTGCTACAGTTGCTGTTTTATCATGTGTTCATGCTGAAATGATACAAGTTGGACCTTAAGTTAGGTATCCACTGTGGGAAATAGCTTTTAATTTGTGTTATTTAGATTAATTTTTCCATATTTCTAGTTTCACAGGAAAGCGAGTGACCTCGCACCTATACCCATAACAGCCCAGTGATGTCACACACAATGACACAGAGGCTGCAATGCACCTAAGGGCTGCTAGGGAGTTTGCAAATGGCATTTGTCCAAGGTAATGCAGAAATTAGCTGATAAGTCAGGTGAAACAAAGCTCTTCTTCCACCAGATAAAAAATTGGTCCAAAAAATAGAGATTTCATTTACCCTTAGACATGCAAACATGTGACCTCTAGGTATGCCTAATTCAATTGAACAAAAGTTCCTAAGGTAATTTCATATTTTCAGACATGCCCTGTTCTTGAAGTTGGGAAATTATGGAATAAAATAATTTTTAAATAAGAACATACTTCTACCCATAGTGCAAGGGTGGAACATAATAGGTGATTGCAAATAATTAACTGGACAGATTTTAATAAAAACCTTGAAAAAGATGGCTTCCTTCTGGGTCATTTCCAGTATCGTTAGGGAATAGGAATCCATTACCAGATGCTTAATATCACTATTTGGGAAGGCTGTCTTTTGGCATTTGCTCCTTTACTATGGAGGGAAGAGTGGTTTGTAAGATAAAGTTCTTACCAAACCTAGTTCATGAAACAAGCTACTTTTAACCCTTATTTTTCTTATTTGCATAGTTGGGTATTTATTAAGGAACATAGTAGGTGCATTAAAAAAATGATAACTACTACACAGCTGTTTCTACCCAGTTCAGAAAAGTCATGTGGCTGGTGTGTAGTCTAGTAGCTAAATCCAATCCTTGGTGGGGAGGGGGGAGGGGTTTGAACCTAGGGTGTCAGGCTTGCTAGGCAGGTGCTGTGCAACTTAAGTCACATCTTTCAGCCACCCTCCCTCTAAGAAGTCATCAAGGAGGACTTGAAAAAAACAAAGAAAAAAGTTCAGTCTTAGCACTTGTGCTCTTTTGGAAGGCTGACATCTTCATAGGAAAGTTAAAACTTATTTGCATTTATCGTAATTATCCTGGTAATGACAGAGCTGGAATGTGCAGAGTAGTTTTATGTGGTGAGTAGGGTAGAAATGTTAGGTAGTTCTGGACTTAACAGCATAAATACTCAGGTGCTTCCTACATGTTAGACAATATTACTAGTTCTCCTTTATTCACACTTAAAATTTTTTTTTGTCAGTGGTTTATTCCTGTAATCCTAGCTACTAAGGAGACTTGAGATTTGAGGATCACAATTTGAAGCCAGCCCTGGCAGTGAGATTCCTATTTCCACTTAACCAGCAAAAGGCCACTAGCCTTCAGTGAAAAAGCTAAAGAACAGCTCAAGCCCTAGTACCAGCTCCCCTCCCCCCAGTTATTTTTCTTCTGATGTCAGTTACCCTTGATAACCATTGTCCAAAATATGAAATGGGATCACATCAGATAGCATCACAGGCTTAGAATTGTTCTGTCAGTAGTTGTTATTAATCCCTTAATGGGTCTAATTTACAGGTGTTTGTATGTAGAGGGAAATGGTAGACATTGTGTTGGAGACTGTAGTATCAAGCATCCCCTCTGGGGGTATTGCCCAATTCCCTCTGGCAAGGAAGGTTACCACTGAATGTCTTGTCCTTTGGACAGCCTCCTGAGATGGGAGTATTCTAAGTTGAGCCATGGTACTTGATGTGGTGGGAGGGAAGGTTCTAGATCACTAGTTTTCTTGAAGCAATCTACCTGGGTTGTAGGGGCATGGGTATGGGTGGCAAATGGCCATCATAATTATGTATATAAACAAAACTCAGGGCATCAATAGACAGTAAAACTTTCCTATCTGCAGTATTTATTCTATGTCTCCTGCCAGCTCTTCTAGAAGGCTGGATCAATAGCCATTATCACTAATGGAGTAATGATGCCTTTAGCTCTCAGGTGGAGTCCTGCCAGCCATTATTCCTGTCCAGTGTCTGGAATTGTTCTCTTTGGGTTACTTTCCAGGTGATAGCCATCACAATGCCCAAATGGATATTCAGTTATTTCTGATTAAAAAAAAAAACTCTCCGATGCATGTCTTGAATTATGTTAGATAAAAGATGTTAAACGCAGTGGACATCCTCATTAACAGTGCTGGTAGGTCTTCTTTGTCTTCAGTATTTGGGGAAGCCTTATTTATTTAGCTAAATTCTGTTATAAGAGTGGAGAAGACTTTTGTTGAGCAGTGTCACATAACAGATTGCAAGCAGGCCACTGAATGGTGTTTAGTACATTCTGGTGTGTCGCTGTCACCTCAATCTAGTTCAAAAAATAAGAAAATGCTATTTTAAACTAGTAGTGCTGGTCTTGGACCATGACTGGCTGCATTTCAGAATGTGATTACCAATTCAGGAATGTGTCTGGGAAGTGCCCGGCACAGCTCATACCAGTGGTAATTGGTTATCCCTTCCTCTTTGTTTTCCAGCATCTGAACCTTTTCAGCATAAATTAGCTAGGCTTGTATTGTACTGCCATTTAGGGAGCCATAGAGCTTAAAAGCCACATGATGCTCACCCAAATAAATAAGAACAATTGATCTGAAATCTGAACAAACCATTAACTCTTACAGACTATAGAAATGTTGCTGTGTTCTTGCTGCTCATTTTCAGCCCCAGGCAGCCCCATGTGTGGTGATTGTCCCTCCCTGGCTCTTGGAGAGAGAGCTGTTTTGCATAGCACTAAAAGCTGATGGAGCTCCAGTGTTGGGCATTAAGTGCCTTGTTTTGGTCACCAATGTGATCCTCATGCACAAAGTGAGAATTCTACCCTGGCCTTCTATCCAGCTAACCTTCTATCTGGCAGAACATCTGATAAATCTGTATTCCTTCAACACTTCATGTACCATGGGGAGGTGGGGTGGGGGAAGGACCCCTTTAAAGACAAGAGGGGAAAAAAAACCGCACTTACTTTTTTTTTTTTTTGGTTAAGGGGCTTGAACTTGGGGCCTGAGCACTGTCCCTAAGTCCTTTTGATCAAGACTAATGCTCTAGCCCTTTAAGTCACAACTCCACTTCCAGCTTGCTCTTCGTTAATTGGAGATAAGTCTTGTGGACTTTTAGTCCTCAGATCTCAGCCTCCTGAGGAGGATTATAGGCGGGAGTCACACACTCATTTCTATAAACGACTCCTAACAATTTTTCTATTATATTACCTACCATCCCCCAAATTCCATTTTCAGTATCACTTTTTTTTTTTTTGGCTGATTGTGGGGCTTGAACTCTTGGGACCTGGGCACTGAACCTTGAGCCTCTTTGTGCTCAAGGCTAGACCTCTACCACTTGGGCCACAGCTATACTTCTGGGTTTTGAGTGGTTAATTGGACATAAGAATCTCACAGGGACTTTGCTTACTCAGGCTGGCTTTGAACTGTGATCCTCAGATGTCAGCCTCCTGAGTAGCTAGGATTACAGGCGTGAGCCACTG